ATTTATTGAATCTCTCTTCCCTCCCCATCTCCATTATTTCTGCCTTAGACAGGTCCTCCTCATTCTCTCCTAAATAATGACTATCACATTCCTGGTCTCCCCATCTATAGTGCAGCACCTGTATCCCCTGTACCCTCCAAATATTTCAACAACCTAAGCAACATACCTATGAACCATTACCATTCTGCTTAAAATGCTTCAGCAACTGATCAAGATTTCAAGACAGAATTAATGCTCTTGAATATGTCACACCTCAAAATCTAGCACACAGCCCAATGTCTAACACATAGTGGGACAAAAAGGCTGCGTCTTATATTAAGTTTTGCTTTCTATAGTGTTCTTAGTAAGAATGCTGCCTCCCTATGTACCTGGAACAGAGTAGAGATTTTACAAGTATCTAGAAATTCATAGATAGCTTTTACTTGATTACTCAGAGCTTCAAAATGCCTCCACTAGCAAATGACATTAGCAAAGTTGAGCAACATAAAAGTTTCTCCAATATATTTCTCACCCCAGATTGGTACAGCCTTATGGAAGATCCCCTGACATTGACTGACATTAAACCTGAACCCACATGGAGAGTTGGCTATTGGTATTTCTGTGAAGGTAAAATGGACTTTTGTTGAACAAAAGCTCTACCTAAAACACTCTTGGCTATAAAACCACAGTACCTTTCTCCAGCACCCTGTATCCCCTGTACCCTCCAAATACTGAGAATCTGGAACCCAAGAAACACAGCATGCCTGGGTGAGGCGGCATGGGAACAGAAGTTTTTCAGTTACAGCCAGCAAGCCTCTCCCAGCCCTGCCAGTGTCTGTTCTCCACAATGGATCTCATCCCCTTCTCACTTGAAGTCTTTATGAAAGCAAATATGCCCAACAGTCTCCTGAGTGTGTCAGACTTGTGCTGACCACCTTGGCACAGTTATTTCTTAGGTTACATGGGTTATGCTCACGTAACCTAAGAAACAAACAGCCAAATCTTCAGTTCTTTTTAGTTGATTTGACACGTGAAAAACTAAAGTTTTCACTTCATCTCTGAATATCACCACCTCCTTGAGGCTCACACCATGAGCACAAGAGATGCAATTGGGGGCATAGCAGGTTTCATGTGAGCAGAAATCATGCCTGGGCTGTTCACTGCACGTAGTCAGGAAGAGCTCAGGCAATGCGTGTTTTGTGAATAACGCATGTCAAGCTTTCTGTGATTCAAACACAGGAAGTACCAGGTGAGATGAGTGCCACTCTCTCCCACAAAGGACGTTCCAGACAGCAGCAAGTAGACCAACCTCAGGGGCAGACATACAGGTGCACTCACAGCCACTGAACTGCTCAGCAGCATGAAAACTGAGCAAGGGGACCATGATTTCAATGTATAAATATCTGCTTCAGGAAAAAATTCCATTTAACATCTTATCTTCTGGCAATGTTTAATGGAGGAATTTTATTTAAAAGAATTCTTAAGAAAATGCTACAATAAAGCTTTTATTGGAGATGATTCCAATATTTCTTCTCCACTAGCACCATCTCTGAAAGCAAGAGCATTTAAATGCTTGGGATAAAAGAACTATGAATAACAGTAAAAGAAACAGTCTGTTTCATTCCCTCTGATCCTCCTTAATCCTTAAATTCAGGCTGTTTTCTGTTCTTAGATAAAACATTGTTACTAAAATCTAAGACTTTAAAATTTTCCAATCAGATTTACTACTAGAGGAAGTAATCATTGATTAATTCATTCATGTGTTTATTTTAATGAAAAACTAACCATAAAACTAAGCAATAGTAATTAGTCTAATTTGTGATCACTATAGTAGGATGCATGGAATTGCACGTCTGGTCAGTATCAAGAACTACATAAAATGGGCTCTTGGAGATGCCTAAGGATTGTACCAGATCTAAAAATTATGTTGAAGTTTTCCCAAGAAGCTAAACTCTAAAGGTTGATCCATTATTGTTTCTTTTGGGCCACAATCTATAAATTATGTTTTTTGTTTATTCAGCAGTCACCTATTGTGCTAATACTGGGTGCCAAGAACCAGAGGTTCAGTGGCTGGCAAGCTCTCACAGCTTCCAGTGGAGAGGACAAGATGGCCCTTGGTAAGCTGGATTAAACAAAGGCAAAAGGAGTGAGGCCATTCAGCCAGGAGAGGGCAGTCAGGGAAGGATCACGTAAGTGGAACAAGGCAGACTTGAAAGATAAAGACCCTGGGCCAAACAGGATCGGATACAGCAACACAGGTCCGATTCAGGAAGATCAGCCACAGAGTGGAGGGCAGAACCACTGTGAGAGTGGTAGAGCCGCTCACTGGGGGCCTGAAAGTTATGTTCTGAACTGAGAAGTCATCTGAAGGTCAGTGGTAGCCATGGAGCCAGCATGAGTGGGTAAGGGACACCATCAGCCTTACTCTCAAGAAAATTCATTTAGTAGTTGCATAACGAGGATACTGGAGAGGAACAGGTATGAAGGCACAAGTCCAGCGAGCAGAGGGAAGGAGCGAGTGTGGCTGTGAAGACAGGGAAATGTTTAAGAGACAGCAGCAGTAGAACCGGGTGAGTTAGCACCGTAGGTCCCCTGTGCTCCTTCAGCTTTGAAAATTCCACTGTTTCCTTTTGATGAGAGAAAATAATGCTATTAGGTAATGAACTACATGGCTCCATAAAAAAGGACCGTGCTACACACAGTACAATTTTAAATACTTAGAATTTAGTCTTAAATTCCAAGTACCATTGAGTACAGCAACCTCAACAACTATCAGGCTAAGAGCAACAAAAGTGCCTTAAAAATACCTTCCTTCCGCTGTGCGATGGGACTCAGCTCATGTTCACACCCCAGAGCCAAGCAGTGCTACACGTAGAGCTCAGTACATGTTAGTTTAGTGGAAATGAAATGTAATTTGGGATGTGATTAGGTCAAATGTGTCAAACCTACCCAAATCCTGTCGCATAAAAATAGGCCTCCAGTGCTACATTTTATTATGGGAACAAATGACAGCAGAAAATTGAACTAATTTTCGGAATGGAAAGAGAAAGTAGGGTAACCACCGAAAACCAGCTGGAAGAAATGCTTAAGAGAGAGTCAAGCAGCACCTCCCAGACACTGAGGGCTGGGGAGAGAAATAACAGGAAAGCAAACAGGCAAGGGGAGCGGGGCCGATGGACTGCTGTGGAGGCTGGCTCATGAAGTGAGAAGGACCCACAAACAGCCAGTTCCCCCTGAAGGCCAACAGAAGCCTGCTACACATTACAGTGGTCATGGCTAGACTGGGGCTCACACAAATCCCAGCTACGTCCTTTGGGAATCACATCTGTGATCTTTATTTCAGTGTCTGGTTTTTAAGATATAAGATTTTTTTTTAATATGGAGATTTTAACTTGTCTAAAGTTGACTAAGTCTCCATTTCCTTCCCATTACGGTCCTTGAAACAGGACAGAATCAGGGTGGATATTTAAGAATATTTCAACGAATGAGTGAATCTGTTTAAAATGCTTAAATGCTGTCTTAATATCTCAATTTCCATTTTTTTTATAAACCCCTGGAGGATTATATTCTTTCAGTGGAAAAAAAGTGAAGCAACATTGTATTACTTTTCCCAGGGATCTGGAATTCCTATTGCTTTCTTTCATTTCTGTGTTCCATATAACACATACACACATGACTACAAGATATATTTATTTCCTGTTAAATTTTGTTTGAACTTTGGTTACTCTGAACTTGAACCTCCCTATTTTTACATACTGGTGAGATCCATTTGCTTTGATTCTTGACCACAGGACCTTCTTTTAATATCCTGTACATTTGTAGGAAGTCTCCCTTTACAGCCCCAGTTATTCTCCTAGTTGTTCCTCATATTTATTATCATTGTGATGCTTCTCGTTTCTGTGATCAAAAACTACACATCCATTAATGTCCACGGGATCATACCTTTCTTCTTTCATGTTTTGGATGGAAAATTTCCTACAATACATATATAATTTGTTCTTTCATTTTTAGCTTTCTGTGGTCCTCTCACCATTTCTCATCACTAACAAGCTTTTCCTCCTTATTTAGAATCCACACCAGATTTACAGTGTGTTCATTGCCTTCTCTATTTCTGGGATATGAAATTGTCAGCAAGCCAAGCAGAGAACGCATCAGCTTCCCTGCTTTTTAGTAAGAGGTCCCTTCGAGGAGCTGTCCAGTTAACTCAGCCTCTCCGTCACTGTTGCTACAAGCCACCTTGACTTCCTTATCTAATCTGCATCAGGAAACCATCGTCCACTTTCCTGATTTGGCAGACAGTCTATCCTGCCTTCTGACAAATCACTGCTGATTCTGCTTTTAGCTCTACTCCAAAAACTCGGTCCTGTGCATCCACCATGAGGGCATTCCATTCGCCAAAAGATGCAAACCATAGAGACCCCCACCATTCCACATCCCTTTCCATTAGAAATGCCCTATTACTAGCATAAGCTAATTTTCTGTGCCTAAGTTTCTTTATCTAATACAGATAACACACTTGCTCAATTTACTTATCTATGTTAGGCAAACTGAAGGCCATAAAATTGTTTTAAAACAAACTCACGATTTCAATGTAATGATTAACAGATTTTTTTTTCCTGAGAGATTGAACTAGTATCATACTTAGTATAAGAGCACACAGATGATTTTTATTCAGTACAAGGTTGTATTTCTTTCTTTTCTTTTTTTTTTTTTTTGGTACATTCTAATTATACATAACAAAGAGATTCACTGTAATGTGTCTGCACATGTACATGACATAATCTGGTCAATTTCAACACAGTTATATTACTTGATCTTTAAGTAGTCAGAGAACTTAAAAGCTTTAGTGATCATAAAAGCCTCGAAACCTAACAAAGGATCATTTAGTCTACTATGTGTTGTGACTAATGAAATGGAGGAAATAAATTGGGAACCAAACTTAAAAATCAAACTTTTCTATTATTTTACTTATTCATTAAACTAACCATATCCAAAGGCCAGTTTTTGCAAATAATACTTACAAGAGCATTGCTGTCAGTAGCCATGTATAATATCAGACTGGTAGAAACAAAATCTAGAAAGAAAAAAAAAGCATTTTCAGTTAAGTGTGGGTTTAAAGTGTTCATAAAAACCTATATCTAAGTAGAGGGGAAAAGTTTCTGTTGCAATTTCTGTGAATTTCATAATAAGGGCAATTCATTAAATAGCTACTTATTCAGAACTCAATAAACCAACTACTTAAAATTGAGTTCACAAAGTAAGACAAAGTTTCATCTGCACATTTTTCAGTATTTTTTAAGCCCACAAATAAGACATGATTTAATACAGCTAATGTTACTTTTTTTCTTTTTCAGAAGTGAAACTATTTTTCTTTTCATAATAAACAATATGGAATTAATTGGCCGTTGCTATTATTCAATTTCAAAAATGTAACCAACCCCCTGTCTTAGAAGTCCCAACCTTGATACCAAGATGAGCGTTTTGTGATGTATTGCACTTTGTAGTGGATTACCTGAAACACAAAACACTCTGTGGTTTCAAGAAAAGCAAATGAAAACAAAAGGAAAAAACTCCTCAGATTTTTCAGACTTTGACAAGCAAGAAACTTGTCAAAGATCCACAAGCCACTGAAACTCTCCCAAAAGCAGAGACCATTTTTACTTCTTTCCAGTGACACCACAAATACATACCATGCTCCATTTCTCATACCAATGGTCCCCTATTTTTGAATAATGTAAAAAATGACATATTTATATTCCACAGATGTGAATAAGGCATTTATTTGCAAAATGCAAAGGAGAAAACAAAAGCTAGTAAGTTCAATTACTTAATTTACAACTTATTTATTTTTGCAAAACCACTAATACCTAAATTTTAAAAACCACATCATCAGCTGTAAGCATCTGAAAATGTCTGTAATAAGCACTTAATATGTAAGAATCACAATATAGAGAGAGTTCTTACACACCAGTAAGAAAATAATAAGCAAACTAACAGAAGAATAAGAGCAAGAAAACTCAAAAACTAAAACCACAACTAATACTTAACCATTAGTAGTAAAACAAATACGAAATTAAGCCACATGATTCTATTTTTAATATTCAAGATGGCAAAAAAGATGTAAGTGATAGAACCAAGTTCAGTGGAGATTGAGGCATGTTGGAAAGAATCTTCTCATGTTTTGGGATGTCAATATATTTCAGCCTTTCTGGAGGGCAATTTAAGTTTATAACATTGATTATGACAACTGTAATCAATTGTCACTGAGCTAATCCTTCACTAGGTGCCATGAACTGTGCTAAACATAACCAGACCAAACGTGCAAGGAGTTTTGCAACATGTGGTTGATTTAAAACGAAATTTAAAAATACATATAGAGTGATCCTATCCATTTTATGTCATAAAAATACAGCTTTACACACACACATTCATACACTAATGCACTGGGAGAAAGCGAAAGTCTGAATATATTTCCAGAAAAATGTCTATAGTAATTATCTATGGGAATTGAAATAACCAGAAAATTATCATTATTATTTTGGGGGGAATACCAGAGATTGGACTCAGGGGCACTTGACCACTGAGCCACATCCCCAGCCCTATTTTGTATTTTATTTAGAGACAGGGTCTCACTGAGTTGCTTAGTGCCTCATTTTTGCTGATGCTGGCTTTGAACTCGTGATTCTCCGGCCTCAGCCTCCCAAGCTGCTAGCATTACAGGCATGCGCCACCATGCCCAGCGGTAAAGTATTTTTATTCCCCTATGTATTTATTTTCTACAATAAACTGTCATTTGTTTTTTGTTTTGGTGCCAATTTTTTAAAAATGTGTTTTATTATGAAATACAGTATGTTCTCAAATGTAACATGCACTGGAGCATTTTTTTTCTGTGTCTTCATACATATACTTTGGATAATGATATCCATCACATTCAACCATCATTAATTACCCCCTGCCCCTTCCCATTCCCTCCCACCCCTCTGCCCTATCTAGAGTTTGTCTGTTCCTCCCATGCTCCCTCTCCCTATCCCACTATGAATCAGCCTCCTTATATCAAAGAAAACATTCGGCATTTGGGGTTTTTTTGGTGGGGGGGATTGGCTAACTTCACTTAGTATTATCTTATTTAACTCCATCCATTTACCTCCAAATGCCATGATTTTATTCTCTTTTATTGCTGAGTAAAATTCTATCATGTATATATACCACCTATTTTTATCCATTCATCTATTGAAGGGCATCTAGGTTGGTTCCATATTTTAGCTATTGTGAATTGTGCTGATAAGCTGTTATTTGTAAAACAAAATATGCAGGTAGAACTACACAAATATTTTATTGACTCTATAGTAAAGAATTGAGAGAATATATTGTATTATAAGCAAAAGCTAGATTGAATTCCGTAGCACTTTTAGGTAAAGAAGGAAATATATTGTAGAAGTTATGGGTAGACATTTTGGATTGAACCAGACTGAACTTAAATCTCAGTTTGGCAACTTACTAATTATATGATGTGTTGGGCAAGGAACTGATATCGGAGGCCTAAGGACACCCATCGGTGAAATGGGGATAAGGCAAGAGCCTCCTCACTGATGTGGCACCTTCCCTCTGACCCAGAGTAATGCTGTTTCAATGACCACCTGACTGTGCATCTGCAATGATCACTGATATTGAGACAAACACCAAAATCGTGAAGATCTGTGACAAGGGAGCCTCGGTGCCATCTGCCTATGATTCCCCTCCATCCCTTTCTTGGATTGTTTGTGTGTCCATCTCCCTATCTCCCTGACCTACCTGCCTTTTTAACAATTTCTGTACGTATTTCTCTTATTCTCAGAATGCTGTGCATGCTTTTCCTCTGCAGTTCTGCCCAAGATGGCATATAACATCCAGTCTTCCAATCCTCTGATTAAATGTCAGTCAAGAAAACTTTCCCTGAACCTTGTGAGATCAATCTCCTTTTATTCATAGAGGTTCCCGTCACTGCAAGGAATGATTAACTGTGCATTCGGTTCTTTACTCTCTGGCTCCCCACTGTAATATAACGTAACATAGCATACCTGTGTCTCATCTTGTTCACATTTCCTGCTACATCTCCACTCTATGTACACAAGGTGATTCAATAGATATTTTTTGGGTAAGTGAAGTAAATGGACAAACAATACAATCACTAAGCTATAATATTCCATAAAGGGAGCCTATAAATGCTGAATTTTTGTTTTCTGGAGTATTATCATCATGGAGAGCCCATCAGAAATTCCCTTCCCGGTCTGCAGGGTGTGGAAATGAAACCATGTTGATACCACACTTCCTTTCGTCAAAGAGTAAATGAGCTATCACTGGCCTGGGGAAAGCTGAATGGAGACACCTAGGAACAGTCGTGCCTTTGCATATGCTATCTTTGAGCATCATCTACTTATTGACTTTGGGACTTTGGTACTCTATCCCTTGAAGTAGTAGACATATATGAAATCTAAAATGTCACCAAATGATTCAGAGATCTTTGGGGCAGAAGAATCACCAAATAACCCAAGTTCAACTCTTGCTTCTCCTCTTTCATATTGAACACATGCTCTGAGGGAAATGGGAGTAAACTGGTGGTCATGAAGAACATTTGATTGTTGTTTGGACAAGGAGAACTGTCTCAGCTAATCCAGTTATAAGGCATATGGTATCCATATGTTGATAAGTTAAATAAATAGTTCCAAGGCTTTGATGAAAATATATTTGTAAAGCACAAAATAAAAGCTGTTAATGAAAAGATAATAGGTCTAACAAAAGTATTTTGAAAGTAGTTATTTTTCAGTCTTCCCAACCTTTATGAGAATATGAGTCTAAGTAAGATAAATGCCTATAAAGAGCTAAATAATTAAAGAAAGAAGAGTTGTTTGATACGCTTGATAAAGAATTTTGGATTACCAGAAATTTGAAAAATTCTGAATAAGAGCCTAATGGGATTGTGAGAAAACACCTTTTCAAATCAAAAGACTTCTAATTCTTTACTTTCAAACAATTAAAGAAAATACTATTTGAATTGTTGGTTATTAAAGGAAATAGTTTTGATGGATGACCATGTTATTTAGCATATAATCGAATGGAGTTTTAAGAGGGCTCCATCCCAACAGATTTACTTTTATAAAAACTATTTCTAGTTCCTTACATAATAAATACCAGCAATAGGATTGCAATTCATTTTGAACTCCCATTTTAGCAATAACTAGTAGTCATCCATGGGTGTGCTCCATAATTAGGGAGAAAGTCTCATCTATGCATTTTAAGTAAAAATATTTATTTCTTATATTGACTATTTTGGGTCAAAATGTGTAGCATATTTGTGTTAAGTTATGTAACAGTAATAATTATAACAACTCACTCAAAGGGAAATGACTTTACTTGAAAAATTATGTCACCAAAAACTGTTATAATTATATATTTCAATTTAAATATGTATTATTTAATTTAACATATGTGTATGGTAAAATTATCAATAGAAATTTTCCATGCATAAAAATTTTATACAATACAATTAAAATCCTAGTGATGGTGGAATAAAAATTTAAGTTCTAGGACAAAAGAGAACAATGTAAAATTTACAAGTCCTAAAATGATTACTTAAAAAAAAATGATGAAACTTTTCAAATCTCTTGTGGTGTTTATATGGTACAAGTAAACTTCAGGATTTACATTAAGCCTGAAACCACATCTTTATCAACTACACGTATATTGAAACCTTAGGTGACAGTTAAAGTATAAGAGGGCACATAGAGCTTCCAGGCTATTTTATGGGTATGCAACCAAGAAATATGTTTTAAAGCTACTGGACTAAAGCACATAGATTAGAGACCAACAGATTTAAGTTTGAATTCCAACTCAGCCACTTGTTAAATGTGGAAACTTATGAGAATTACTTGCTTTCTCTGAAATGTCTTGTCTGTTAAACAGAAATAATAATAATCAGCATATAGGGTTTTTGTGAAAACTAAATGAAGTATCCCACAGAAAACGTTCAGGGCACAGTATGCGCTCGATAACTGGTAGCAGTTACCTCGAATGGAAGCAATTGCCTTGAAAGAGCTT